TCCGAAAAGGCTTTAGCACCATAGACCACATACATACCCTTAGGCAAATTGTACAGAAGTCCGAAGAGTACAATTTGCCACTATGTCTGGCGTATGTGGACTATGAGAAAGCCTTTGATTCCGTCGAAATTTGGGCGGTGCTGCAGTCCCTTCAGCGATGCCAAGTTGACTGTCGGTATATCGAAGTGTTGAAGTGCTTGTACAGTAGGGCTACGATGGCTATCCGAGTACAGAACCAGAGTACGAAACCTATCCAATTGCAGAGAGGTGTAAGACAGGGTGACGTCATATCCCCGAAACTCTTCACCGCTGCATTGGAAGATGTTTTCAAGCTTCTGGACTGGAAAGGATACGGTATCAACATCAATGGCGAGTACATCACTCACCTTCGATTTGCCGACGATATAGTCCTTATGTCAGAATCGCTGGAGGACCTAAGCACTATGCTCAATGACCTCAATAGTGTTTCCCAACGGATAGGTCTTAAGATGAACATGGACAAAACAAAGATCATGTTTAATGTCCATGTCACACCTATGCCGGTAGTTGTTGGGAACACTAAGCTCGAAGTTGTTGACGAGTATGTTTACCTGGGACAAATAGTCCGATTAGGTAAGTCCAACTTCGACCGAGAGGTCAATCGACGGATTCAACTCGGTTGGGCAGCGTTCGGGAAATTACGGCACATCTTCTCGTCAGGTATACCTCAAAACTTGAAAACGAGACTGTACACCCAGTGCGTGTTGCCAGTGATGACATACGGAACTGAGACGTGGTCCTTCACTGCTGGCCGGATGAGGAAGCTCAAGGTCGCTCAGCGAGCTATGGAGAGGGCTATGCTCGGAGTTTCTCTGCGTGATAAACTCAGAAATGAGGATATCCGCAGTAGAACCAGAGTGACCGACATAGCCCAACGGATTAGTAAGCTGAAGTGGCAATGGGCCGGCCATATAGCTCGAAGAACCGACAACCGATGGGGAAGAAAGGTTCTCGAGTGGCAGCCTCGTACCGGCAGGCGAAGTGTAGGGCGTCCCCCCACTAGATGGAGTGACGACCTGGTAAGATTTGCAGGAAGTCGATGGATGCAGGTGGCTCAGGACCGTGCTTTGTGGCATTCTTTGGTGGAGGCCTATGTTCAGCAGTGGACTTGTGAAGGGCTGTAATGATGATGATGATGATGACAATTAAACTAAATGAATTTGGTTCCTTTGCGTTATATGGTGTAAGTAGAACTATGTTATGAAACAACATATAGTTTTATACATTTACCAATGGCACTTGCAACAAAAATATGATTTTATTATTTATATACTAGCAAATATTCTTACAAAGTCTTAAAATTAAATGTATATTCTTAATATCTAAAGAAACAGGCAATACTAAATTACTAGGTAGGTACCTATAGTTATCGGCAAGTTCTCGATATAACTGCTGTGGCGTTATAACGTCTGGATGTAAAATATCCTTACTGCTAAACAAAATAGCATTTATGATATCTTCTAATTGAAAAGATAATGTAAGAATTGAAGTTTCTAAACTTTCAAAAATTTCAATAATATTAGCAGATATTTGTAGACCATTGGTTATTTCAGAAATATTTGTAATTCTAATAGAGAGATTGTCGATAGCTACATTTAATTTTGCTTCGTTGTTTTTTATTTTATTTAATGTATCGCTATAATACGTTATTACAGAGGTAGTAACCAAAATGTTTTCGTTCATTAAAAAAGCCAGTTGTTTTTCATCGTTTTGTACAGATTCTATTGCTTCTTCATACTTTAGAGCGTCGTCTTCATCTAGAGTACCAAAAATATGCTTAAACATTGTACCAATACCTCCAAACCAAGCGGTACGCTTGGCTCTGTTATCTAATAAGTGTGAGATGGATTCAAAGTCCTTGTTCCAGTCCTGGTTACGTACCGCTAATGGTTGAAGCATATTGTGACAGTGTTTAGCGTTTTCAATTGGGCGTTATTAATTTTTAATGTACCTAAATAATCAAAGTCGATGCCTGCACTCGAAGTTATTTGTTGAATATAATCTTGATGCGATTGACCTCGAGTCGGAGTTCTGTAAATAATTACTATAATTAATATTAAACAGAGGTTAGTATTAACTAACCTATATATACATTTTTATAATTATGTTTTCTTTTAAAAGGTAAGTATTGATTAGCCTATTTTATATAACTATGTGTTTTTTTATTAACTACTAGCTGTGCCCGCGGCGTAGCTCGCGTATACAGGTTTTACATAAACAATTTGTCGTTTAGGTAAGAGAATATTAAACGATTTATTTCATTACTGTATCAATAAGTGGTAACTAAATAAATCATTATCATCAAAGTTCTAAGTCGTTTATGATAGAGCTTCTGTGTAAACGACGTTAGAAGTAGGCTTAGCCGGGGTGTACACTAAAAGGTTACGGGGGCTACTAATGCGGGAAAAAGCAACATAGAGTTGGCCATGTGCAAAACAGTCAGTACTGAGGTACACTCCTACAACGCGTAAAGTTTGACCTTGCGCTTTATTTACGGTCATCGCATAACACACGCTCACTGTAACTGGGAACTGAACGCGCTTAAAACTGAAAGGAAAGTTACTTCTTAATAGAGGGTTTTTGGGCAGTGCTGCCAGATAAAAAAAAACTAATTCAGCTCTAGGACAACACAAAAAGCGCTAGATTTCATGAAAACAGCGCTTTAAAAAAGCCCTAGATTTCGCGCTAAATTAACTACAAACAAAGTTTGTGTTTTTTTATATAATCATAATAAAGAAAACAACATTAAGTTTTTTTTCTGGCAATATTTTTTTGATGTATCAATACTTCGCAGGACATCGACTTATAATTATGGCAATTGCTGTCAACAGTAGTTAGTACTGTACGACCAATAAAAATGTCATTAATTGTTTTAAAGTGCAATGTATTTCGCAACTTAGTTTCAGATGTCAGCATCTGATTGCGGTTGCTACACAGTTTCTTTGTGTTATAACTTCTAAGTAACTTTTAACTTAGCTGTGCTCTAAGCAATTGACTGAAACTGAATAAAGCAAAATAAATGCGTTGTCAAAACCATGAACAAAAACTTTAATAAAGGGGATTTCCCCGCTTATAGTCGTCGGTAAAAAAATCAAGTTGATCATCCTAAAGGGGAAGCCAGGAGATCCATAGCACAGGGTATCCTAGTTTGGACTCGTCTCCCATGCTCTTTGTTTTGTGGAAAAAATAAGTTTGAAAAAGATAAACTGCAATGTACTATTTGTGGGAAAAAATAATAAAGGTCATTATTATTATTATCGGTAATGTGGACTAACAGTGCTGCTATAAAAGAGTTAATAACCCGCTAGTCGCTAAAATATTGAAATGTGTGCTAAATACACCAAAAAGCGCTAGATTAAGCTAGGTGCTAAAATTTCGAAATGCGCGCTATACATTCCAAAAAAGCGCTAAATCTAGTTCCCAAAGCGCTAAAATGACAGTACTGATTTTGCGTATATTATAAATACAATATCACGACATTTCGTTGCAAAATTTTTATTTTTGGTCGGATTCCGTTGTATGGCTTCGATGGAAGGTAAGTCTCAATACGATTCATCGGCGAAAAATCTCAACACAGCAATTCAGAAAAGTTTGTAATTTGTACAACTCCATCTATTACGTCCTTTGTGTGAGAAAAGATCCTTTTTAAATCTCTTTTTGTGTTTTAAGTATAAATATATTAATTATTATGGAACGTTTTTTTTACACACAAATCTTTTTATTACTATTTCTGAGATTTTATGGCGCCATTGAACAAATTCGAACATACATTTCAAAATAATAATCATTACTTTCGATAGAATTAACCAATTTTAATAAAACAAAGATTAAATGTAACTCGAAGATACGCTTTATGATTTTCTTAACGATTTCTTTGAAAATAAAAGATGTTTCCTTTAGACGTGATGCGTTCATATAATAACAGACAAATAGACATACAGACAATTCTAAAAATTATAAAATGTTCTTATTTAATTATTTTCAGTTCCCCATAATGATTTTAGCCACCAAAATATATACCTATACAATGTACAGAAAGAGACACAACATGTTATCATCATTTTTATTATATGTATATATTTAAAGAGAGATGGCGCTGCTAACATCAATTCTAAAAATAAAAGAGATTAATTGACGCGATTGATACATTATATAAAACGCAAGAGAACTTATAAATCAGTGCCTGCACAGTAATCAAAAAATAAAGTTTGACTCTCGCCAAAACCAACGATTTGTTAATAGCTCTTTTAAAATTTGATTTACCACATAGAGTACTCGGCGGTAAAGAATAAATTGAGTTTGTCAACACGCAGTAGGACAGCGAGTAATATAATAAAGATTAGCAGTAAATATGAAAACTCATCTACAGGAATAAACCACATTGCAATTGCATTACATTTTCACAACACCACCATCTATCGAAGAAATGGGAAAACTATTGTGCTTCAGATTTAGTTAATAAGGTTAATATATTTTTGTATAATATATTTAATACGTTCTTTAATACTTTTGTTTACTGCGTTTTCGATATACATAATTATATCATTAATTTACATAATTTAACTATGATTTATGATACGATATTAGTTTAAAATGCACTTGATGACTCAAACAAAGCCACCGTTGAGCAAATTCGTACCTATACTTCCCTACCAATACTTCAGAATATTTATCATAACTTTTGATGGAATGAACTGATTTTAATGAAATAAAGACTAAATGTAACCCGAAGATACACTTTATAATTTCCTTAACAATTCTTATGATATAAATTAGTACTTTATACGTGATACGTTAACAAACAAACAGACAGACAGACAGAAAATTCTAAAAATGGTAGAAATGTATTTAATTACTTATTTTTAGTACCCCTCAATCACTTTTATTACAAGAATATAAAATGTACAGACATCTGCTATTTACAGTTTTATTATATGTATAGATTTTTATTTCTTTTTCAGATGGCGAAACTATGATTCTAGGTAAGTATTATTAACTTTCTAGACATTAGTCCTTTACTAAGTTTTGTTTATTTTACAGGTTACTTCTGATTTCTGATGCAGGTTTCACCTGATCGAACTGATGCATGACATGGCGTCGATTGATTAGTAAGGTAAGTGTATTATTACAGTCTTATTCATAAAAATCCCTTAAAATGGCGTTATATCAGTCATTAGTTAAAATGCTCATTAGTACTATTAAACCTATTATAAAATTCTCTATTCATAAACGTTCGATAAACCTGTCATAGTTAAATCATAATATAATATAATCCTTCACCCCTGGACCGCTGGAGCGTTAAGACGTATGCACTTATAGTGTTTATTTAAAAATATTATTTTTGAAAATAAATAAAAGTGATATAGTTTTAACCAAATACTAGGCGCGCATAAAACAGTGAAGGAGTCACAACAGCAATCAACAACGCAGAAGGCAGTGAAGCGGCATGAGCAAGACAACAACTACTGAGAGCTGAGACGGGGAGCGCATCCTAACGTACTCTCTACACACGCACGCTCTGTCGCTTACCGCAATTTATAAGCTCCAGCGATTAGCGGGTAAATATTGGTGTCTAGTCTAAGGTGATTATTGATTTATTTTAATACAGTGTTATAACTTGGGTTGGATTGAGTTAGTCAAAATGTCCGTTTCACGCACACCTACGAAAAGCAGTACTAAACCTATTTCTCCCACACATTATGGATCCGACTCGGGGCTCTATACTCTCGGGAGTCACGAACATAATATAGATGTTAACGTTAAAAAAAGATCTAAACGCCGGTTGAATAACCCAGCTAGCACTACTGATTTAACATTATCGGACCTAATGATAAGGTTGGATGAAATAAATAAATTGCAAGACTCTAAGTTTGCTTCCTTGGAGTCATCTATAAATGCCCTATCAAAGCAGAATGATGAAATCAAGGACACAGTGATACACCTGTCCGCTAAATATGATGATGTCCTAAATAACTTGAAAACACTTCAACAAGAAAACAACTTTTTTAAAAATCACATTAAAACGCTAGAAATGAAGCTTGAGCAATTTGAAAAAAATGCACGATCAACCACAATTGAGTTGAGAAATATTCCGGTATCTGAATCCGAACACAAGGAAAATTTAATTGAATTTGCTAAAAAGTTAGGCACAGTAATAAACGTTCCGATCCAGGACTCAGACATCCGTGATGTGTTCCGGATGAAGTTAAAGAACAAGCCAAATGGTCCTATAATTGTTGATTTCACATCAACTCTTAAGAGAGAAAAGATTATTAAAGCTACAAGAACCTACAACAAAACGAACACTGATCAACGTTTAAGTACCGCGAGTCTCAATATAAATGGAGCTTTAAAACCTATATATGTGTCAGAACACCTCACTGCATCAACCAGACGCCTATTTTACCTTGCTAGAATGTTTGCTAAAAAGCACAACTACGAAAACTGTTGGACATCATTTGGCAAAGTATATCTGAAACGTAACCACAACGAATCTCGCATACACGTGAGCTGCCAAGAAGATATTTTAAACCTCCAAAAAAATATCTGACTAGGCAATTCTGCTTTTTGTTTTTTTGAATTGCTTAGCTCTTATTTTGTTGCTTGCATGGTATATTTCTGCTTTTATTTAAAAAACATTAAATATTTTTCTTTAAATGTTAATAAGCCTCATATACACGATCACGTGTTTTACACAAACACAATAAACACATCTACTCATATATTTATTCCTATAATTGTTAAAATTCTTTACACATTATTTGTCAAATATATAAAAATTACACTTCTAAAACTAAATGTAATTTATGTTTTATCTAGCTCAGAAAATGGTACCTTCTACGTTTTAAATATGTTTATTATAATGATTTGCCGTAGTTTAGTATTCTTAGTATTTATTATAAAAATCGGTTGCAAGGTCCACTTGCCTCGTGAATATTATCCTTCTAATAGCTCTCCCCGTAAAATTCAGTGAATTAATTACAATTCAAAACGAAATCGACTCCTACAACGTAGCAGATTCCAATATATGTGATGCTGAGGATTGCGTGTCTCTTTTACCTAACTCGAACAAATCTTTTAAAGTATTCCAACAAAACATCCGTAGTTTAAAATGTAATTTTTCTGGGTTAATACCAATTCTTGTACGAACAGGAGTGGACTGGGACTGCATTGTGCTTACTGAATGCTGGCTATCTTCCATTCATTGCATACCTCCATTGGATGGATACAATAACTTTGCTTCCACTAACAATCTTACCCAAAATGAGGGCGTCGTTGTGTATTACAAAAAAGATTTAGTTATCTCAGTTGATGAACCTATAATATCAGATGCAAATTGTCTTATAATTACTCTAAATAGAGATACGGTAGCTATTGCTGTTTATCGACCTCCTGGATACAAAAATATTAATAATTTTATTCAATCCCTTAACAGTATATTACTAAAATATTCAACTAAGCAAAATATCATATTATTAGGTGATATTAATATTAACATAGCAAAACAAAGTAGAGATTCAAATCTTTCTATGTACTTAGATATGCTGGCATTTCACGGAATGTTACCTGCGTACATATTTCCGACGCATAATAAATCATGCTTGGATCATGTTATGTTAAAGACAAAATTGCAAGCTCGTTGTCTCATCCTCCAAACATCTCTAACTGACCATTATAGTGTTGTCTTATACATTGCTTCTTTTTCTAATCAAAAACGTGCAAAACTATTTAAATACGTAAATTTTGAACTTTTAAACGCAGATCTAAAAAATAAGGATTTCAGTTCTTTATACAAGATCAAAGATGTAAATGAAGCTGCTATTTTTTTCCACAATATACTTCAGTCAGCTATAATGCTTAATTCAAGAGAAGTAAAAATTTCCAGACGTAAGAAAATCTTGAAACCCTGGATTACCTTAGGTGTCCTTAAATGTTTAAAAAACCGTGATAACCTATATAAGAAACTAAAAAAAGACCCAAATAATGAGACGCTAAAGACTATTTATAAGAGATACAGAAACTATTGCTCATCTCTGTTGAGGAAACTTAAAAGAAATTATGAAAAAATTCAACTTCAAAATGCAGGAAAAGACAACAAAAAACTTTGGAAAGCTGTTAAAGAGATTACTTACACAAATAAACCTAAAGAGATTCCATTGGAGCTGATAGCTACAAGCAATCCACAAGCATCAGTGAATAGTATTAACCATTATTTTGCAAATGTAGGCAGAACTTTAGCTGAAAACCTGTGTAAAAATAAGCCCCCAATTCAACCCCCTGCTTTAAAGTCATGCTGTCATTCTTTTACTCTTTTATCTACGGATAAGGATGAAGTTAGGAATCTTATAACAGGTTTAAAGAGTAATTGCTCTGTTGGCCTGGATTTAATTTCTAGTGAAATTATTAAGGCTAACAGAGATGTTCTGGTGTCTCCGATAACGTACATTTGCAATTTATCACTTTCAACTGGAGTGTTCCCGCGGATATACAAGAAATCGCGAATCCACCCGATTCATAAAAGCGGAGACAGGGGCTATGTCAGTAACTATAGACCGATTTCTATTCTTCCCACTATCTCAAAAATTTTAGAACGCATTATAAATAATAGATTAGTAAAATACTTGGAAAATAAAAATCTCTTGTCACATAAACAATTTGGCTTTAGAGCAAATAGATCTACATCAGACGCGGTTTTTGAACTAACAAATTACATTGTTAATGACTTTGACAATGAAAAAAAAACAATAGGTATATTTTTGGATTTGGCAAAGGCATTTGACACAGTCTCTGTCCCAATTTTGGTTCAAAAACTTGAATACCTTGGTATTAGAGACCTCCAGTTGAAACTTCTACAAGATTTTTTAACAGACAGAACGCAATGTGTACAAATCGATACCATAATTAGCGAAGAAGTTCCTGTAACTTTTGGAGTTCCTCAGGGAAGTATTCTGGGTCCAACTCTCTTCCTTGTTTATATCAATGATCTTTGTCAAATAGAAATTCCTAATGCAAAAATAATTGCCTTCGCAGATGACATGGCCATCCTTTTCAGTGGTAACTCATGGTATGAGGTTTTCTCAAATGCTCAGAGAGGAATGAATACTGTTACTAGTTGGTTATACAAGAACATTTTAACTCTCAATGTTGCAAAGACTAATTACATCTCCTTTTCCATTAAGTCCACCAATAAACCAGACCCTGCATATCGAATTGTTTCCCACTTGTGTGATAATCCCAATGACACAACCTGTCTATGCCCGAAGCTTGTAAACGCAGAATCAACTAAATACCTAGGCGTAATGATTGACAGCAAATTAAGTTTTCACTATCACATTGACCATCTAACTGCAAGAATACGCAAATTAATGGTAATATTTAAGGCCTTGAGACATGTGGCCCAGGAGAAAGTATTAAAATCAGTTTACTTCGCTCTTTGCCAGTCGCAACTTATGTACTGCATTACTTCTTGGGGTGGTGCCTGTAAAACACACTTTCTAAAAATCGAACGAGCGCAAAGAGCACTCTTAAAAGTGAGCTCATTCCTACCATTCTATCATCCAACGTCTGATCTCTACCAAAAATGGAAAGTCCTGACTGTCAGACAGCTTTACATTTTATATACTGTACTTCAACAACATTCCCAGTTAAAGTATGAACCAGATAACTTTAGGAATCAGCGCCGCAAGGATAAAGTCTGCACTATAACTAAATACAGAACTAGCCTTACACATCGATTTTACTGTTACCAAAGCAGTAACCTTTATAATAAATTAAATAGGGAACTGTCAATCTATTCCCTTCCAAAAATTAAATGTAAATTTACTGTCGCGGAGTGGTTAAAAAAATTGGATTATGACCGTACAGAAAATTTACTTCATAAATAATTTCTTTTTCTACACATACACACACACGCGCGCACACACACACGCGCACACACACACACACACACACACACACACACACACACACACACACACACACACACACACACACACACACATGAGGTAACGGAACCGTTGTAACTTTTTTTTTTCTTTTTTAGCCTTTTTTAAGCTCATTTTTATTCTTTTTTATATGTAATTTAAATAGCCTTATATGTCATACAAATGCATTTTAGTGTATCATTTTACGTTAATACTATAAGTTCTTTGATACCTGTAACACTCAATCGCGAATAATGCTCTTGTTTGTCCCGTGGGGTGGGGACCTGGTGATTTGTAATACAGGCATTTTATAGCCTAATTCAGACACCAGCTCCTCACATATACTAGACTATGAGTATGAACTTACCTGTATTTAAATAGATATAAGTTTTATTATGTATTGCCTGTTTTTGTGAGGAGAAATAAACATTATTATTATTATTATTATTATTATTATAATAGAATACTTCAATTTTATTATGTTGTCATTCTGACGAATCCATAGACTAGCGACGGTGAAAAAAAGTTTGACAGCAATTGTGACATTCCTGTCAAATTAAGCGCGTTGTGACGTTGTTTTCGTTAAATCGGTTCAAGAAATTGATTTGATTTTTATTTTTTACTCAATAGTAATGGAAAACAGTACAAATAAAAAGCGGCAAAGAAGCGAAAATTGGCTGGAGGAAAATAAGGTCAGTACGTAACTAAAGTAATTTTCTCATAGGGGCTTAGTGCACAAGTGTTAGTTCACTGTGTTGTTATCATAGAAGTATTACCCAGTAGAAACGCAGTCTAGTACAAAACACGAACGTTAAAGTGACGCAAGGTCATTATCAGGGGTATGAAAGTCCTCAGTAGCTTGCTTTTACGTTGATACTAGCGCCATCTCATAGTCAGCCAAAGTACTATTTTTCCCAATATTTTTACACATTTTATTATAAGATGGCGCCACTGCTGGTATTCATTATTTATACCGAAGCCTAAATTATGCTATCGACGTTTTAAAATACAGCGGTATACGAGTATGTATAGAATAATTCTATAAGAATATACGAAAAAATTTAAACCATGCTCATCTAAAACAAACTAAATAAAGAGTTATTTAAAACAAATTAAATAGTAATTACAGTAAAACCCGCTTAAGACGATTTTGAAGGGACCCAGGAAAAATCGCGACTTAAGCGGGAAAGCGTATTATGCGGGATAGGAAAAATAAAACATTATTTACAAATATTGTGTAGGTATTGAATTATAGGTATACGTAAATTGCTTGTCGCATTCGGAGGTAAGAAAACAAGCGTGATGTTCTTTAGTTCAACATCTTTAGGGTGAGCGGGGCAGTTATCAACGAAGAGAATTATGCGTCTACATTTAATCTGGAAGTGATCATCTAAAGCTTTTAACCAGTTAATAAAACGAAGGCCAGTCATCCAAACTCGAGATTGTGCATCATATTACAGGGAGCGATTTCACGTTGTTGAAGCAACGTAGATTTTACCAATGACTAGTAAACATAACTTTTCCGAAAATAAACAAAATTTGTCTGCGTTAAAAATGTTTCGCGGTTCATAATTTTATAATAATGCAGGAAATTGTGATATCCATGTATCAACATCTTGTTCTGCCACTATCTCCGATTCCCCAGTGATTTGACGATACACAATGCGGTGACGATTATTAAAACGATCTATCCATTTGAAGTGGTAAAATCTGATTTGTAAGCTTTCAGCAATTTTTCGCCTCATATGGGGCCACTTATGGGCAGTTATAAAGCTCGTGCTTGATGAAGCCATTTCACTAAAACTTTCTCTAATTGATCAAACTTTGCTTTTTTCTCTTCACACCTCCCAATCTGTATTTTTCGTTAATTTCTTGTCTATTCTTTAAAATGGTACTACTTTATAATGCAACTCGGCTCGGCTCGGGTGTTGCACAGATGGCGTATTAGACGAGATGACGAATCGTATTAAGCGTGTTAAAAATGTATGAAAACATGCCTCAAGTTGCAGGGACTGACATAAAATGGCGTATTAAACGAGAAATCGTATTAAACGTGATCGTATTAAGCGAGTTTTACTGTATATACATTTTCTTTTAATTTCATTGAAATATGTACGAAATAATACTGAACCTAGTTGATAGCGCCATCTAGTGTCATTTTCAGTAATTTATAATCCCAACGCCATTTATAAGAGCGCTAAAGAGACTTCCCTCTTTTCGACACCTAATAATTTTTCAGTGGCTCATCTATACTCTATATAGTATATTATCTATGGTCATTATGTTAGTGGGCGCGAGCCGAATGTGCCTACGCTCGTCACACGCACACATACACGCCAATCAGCGATACCAGTTTCTGGCGTTTGCAATCAAATTGTGCAAATCACTATTTTATTGATTAATTTTAAATAATCGATATAATAAAGATTACGTATTACGTACGAAGATGTATTTTATGAGAATATAAAATGGAATAAAATAAACACGATAATGATGGCACTAATATAACTTTATTATACATATTTTAATGGTACAAAAATGCAGATGTAATAAAATTTAAGAATATTATTAAACATAATTAATTTGCTCGAATACAATAAGCGGATGTGCTTATTGTAATGTTTAATTTTAACTGACTTCAAAAAAGGAGGAGGTTATTAATTCGGTGTATTTTTTAAATGTTTCTTACCTCAGAATTCTACAATTTCTAAACCGATTTAGATTTATTTATTTGAAAGGATATTCACACAGATTGGTCCAATATACACGCTGAAATTTTAATGGTTGTTTTCCCGTAGTCAAATGATTTTGTCTTGGTAGTACAATAGATTTATTAAAATAAAAATTATTATGATGCAAAAATGGCAGATTTACAATCGAGAAAAACAAAACTCGAATGTGACCTCAAACCAATAACAATATCTCGCAAGTAGATCAGGCGAGCAGGCTAGCTTATACCGTATTACTATAATAAAGTCTGAATAAAAAAATATTCGCTGGACGTAACGTAGTGTTACGTCTATCGCACGCGCTACCGCGCGCTGCCTACACAGTGAAGGGCCACTAATAAATGTTCAGGGCATGAACTCTCAAGTGCCGTACAATTTTTTATTGTGTTTCATTTAAAAAAAATCCCTCATCGCTGTATGTCATAGCATACAGCAGTTAACGTTTTGAACAACTTGAAAAATAAGAATAATATTATAAAAAAAATTATTAGCGTTCGAGTACATTAATTTTTTAAGCTTGCGCATCGTCGTAGGAATCTGACTTGGAGCGGCGATTTGTTGACCTCATCAGTGCCCCTGTGGAAGCAGCGTCGACAAGTTTGGGCTCCACGGACTTTCATGTAAGAAAAGTGCTGGTAAGTTTTCATGGCATGGTTCTTTGAACGATGTCATCCGAAGGGCTCTTGTCTCTATAAATGTTCCCTCGGTTTTAGAGCCTTGTAGAATAATTTGAGACGATGGCAAGAGACCCCGACGGTATGACAAATTATAACGGTAAGACAGATTTGTGTGATTTGTGATTAGTGTGGGATGCTACTTGCGTAGACACTTTGACGGCCTCTTATCTCAGGGCTACCTCGTTTAGAGCCGGGGCGGTATCAGAGTTTTTAGTGGCGCAAATACGAGTCTCTGAGAGATGACTACATATTAGTGCTATTTGCTGTAGAGGCTATCAGTCCGTGGGGTCCACCTGCGATAAGTTCTTAAAGGAACTCCACCCGTGGTTTGTCGTTGCTACTGGTAATAAGAGGGCTGGTTCTTTTCTCGCTCAAAGGTTAATTACAGCTATTCAGCGGGGAAACGCAGCCAGCGTTCTTGGCACGATACCGCGGGGATGCAGACCATGAAGCTAATACAAAGGGGAGACGGCATAAGCAACTGTGCACTGTGATTCTAAGTAGGTCCTGACGTCATCATAGTGGGCGTGGCTTTAGTTAGTATACTGTCAGCATTCGTCCTGTGCGCTTATGTGTTGAAAAAATCGCAAATCGGTGTCTTTTCGTAGTATTAAGAAGAAAAGGATGAAGTGTTGTGTTTTATTGTGTAAAAACTACTCAGATAGACGCTCTGATGTTATGGATGGCATCACATTACATTTGTAAATGTTTTTACACCTAATTTATTAAAATAGTTCTAGAAAAATCTCTTTGCGTCGGCTTTCAAATATAATTAAATATATTCCACACTAGATGGCGACACTTTGTGTCCTGTGAACTAAAAATATAAAGGTACGTAGAGCTCAGTAATGATAAAATAATCATACGAAGGTGCTGAAATTTGTTGTGCATTCAGACATAAAAAAATGTTAATCGCCGAAATATTATTTTAAGGTTTATAATATTTTGTGGACATGCCGCCATCTACCGTCAAGGTAGCTAAGCTACATTGCAACATCGATATGGAAAGATTCGAGTAGTTTTACTATTTATCGGTAGATGTAGATAGTGTAGTGGGCGGGGCTTTGCATGCCCTCACCCCGCAAATTGTCACGCTTTGTTACATAGTGAAATTTAATTACAACGTCTCCTCTTTGTATTTGCTTCATGACGCAGACTGTATGATAATTAAGTTACTAGTCTTTATTTTTTTATTTTGGTTTTTATAATTTAAATAAGTAGTAATAAGGCACTCGACTACCTTGTGAGGTATTAGTATTGTAAATCTGCCCTTTTTTAATTGTATTTTTTTTTTAAATAAATTGACTCTACTATCGAGACAGTATAATTTGGCTGCGGGACAATAACCACTAAATTTCAGCATGTATATACGAATTGATCTAGAATCGTCTTAGAAATCAGTGTACATACATATTGATAACCTCTCCTTTTTGGAAGTCGGCTAAAATAGACTATGTTTGGGTCTAAAATAACATCTGGTTAATGTTTGGGTGTCAAGTGACATCTGGTTAGTAAAGGCGTTCTTATTAATAATCCCTTGATGTTGTTAATAAAAAAGTTTTTATTCTATACTCCAAAACGTCGACTTAGTCAATAAACAAAACAATTAAAATAAAATAGTTGTGTTAAAATGGCGTCGACGGATCGCGATTAGCTGATCACTCCGTATTAGTTTTAAGTAGGCACCTATCTATACATATAATAAAACTGTAAATAGCAGATGTCTGTACATTTTATATTTTTGTAATAAAAGTGATTGAGAGGTACTAAAAATAAGTAATTAAATACATTTCTACCATTATTAGAATTTTCTGTCTGTCTGTCTGTCTGTCTGTCTGTCTGTTTGTTTGTTAACGTATCACGTATAAAGTATTAATTTATATCATAAGAATTGTTAAGGAAATTATAAAGTGTATCTTCGGGTTACATTTAGTCTTTATTTCATTAAAATCAGTTCATTCCATCAAAAGTTATGATAAATATTCTGAAGTATGGGTAGGAAAGTATAGGTACCAATTTGCTCAACGGTGGCTTTGTTTGAGTCATCAAGTGCATTTTAAACTAATATCATATCATAAATCATAGTTAAATTATGTAAAAAAATGATATAATTATGTATATCTAAAACGCAGTAAACAAAAGTATTAAAGAACGTATTAAATATATTATACAAAAATATATTAACCTTATTAACTAAATCTGAAACACATTAGTTAACCCATTTCTTCGATAGATGGTGGTGTTGTGAAAATGTAATGCAATTGCAATGTGGTTTTTTGCTGTAGATGAGTTTTCATATTTACTGCTAATCTTTATTATATTACACTCTGCCCTACTGCGTGTTGACAAACTCAATTTATTCTTTACCGCCATGTACTCTATGTGGTAAATCAAATTTTAAAAGAGCTATTAACAATTGCGTTGGTTTTGGCGAGAGTCAAACTTTATTTTTTGCTTACTGTGCAGGCACTGATTTATAAGTTCTTTTAAGTTTTATATAATGTATCAATCGCGTCAATTAATCTCTTTAATTTTTAGAATTGATGTTAGCAGCGCCATCTCTCTTTAAATATATACATATAATAAAAATGATGATAACATGTTGTGTCTCTTTCTGTACATTGTATATATATATTTTGGTGGCTGAAAATAATTAAATAAGAACATTTTATAATTTTTAGAATTGTCTGTCTGTCTATTTGTCTGTTATTATATGAACGCATCACGTCTAAAGTAAACATCTTTTATTTTCAAAGAAATCGTCAAGAAAATCATAAAGCGTATCTTCGAGTTACATTTAATCTTTGTTTTATTAAAATTGGTTAATTCTATCGAAAGTTATGATTATTATTTTGAAATGTAGGTTCGAATTTGTTCAATGGCGCCATAAAATCTCAGAAATAGTAACAAAAAGATTTGAGTGTAAATAAAACGTTCCATAATAATTAATATATTTATACTTAAAACACAAAAAGAGATTTAAAAAGGATGTTTTCTCACACAAAGGACGTAATAGATGGAGTTGTACAAATTACAAACTTTTCTGAATTGCTGTGTTGAGATTTTTCGCCGATGAATCGTATTGAGACTTACTGAAGAAATTTGTATCCACCGAAGCCATACAACCATGAAGCATACAACGGAACCCGACCAAAAATAAAAATTTTGCAACGAAATGTCGTGATATTGTATTTATAATATACGCAAAATCAGTACTGCCATTTTAGCGCTTTGGGACCTAGATTTAGCGCTTTTTTGGAATGTATAGCGCGCATTTCGACATTTTAGCACCCAGCGCTTAATCCAGCGCTTTTTGGTGTATTTAGCACACATTTCAATATTTTAGTGACTAGCGGGTTATTAACTCTTTTATAGCAGCACAGTTAGTCCACATTACCGATAATAATAATAATGACCTTTATTATTTTTTCCCACAAATAGTACATTGCAGTTTATCTTTTTCAAACTTATTTTTTCCACAAAACAAAGAGCATGGGAGACGAGTCCAAACTAGGATACCCTGTGCTATGGATCTCCTGGCTTCCCCTTTAGGATTATCAACTTGATTTTTTTACCGACGACTATAAGCGGGGAAATCCCCTTTATTAAAGTTTTCGTTCATTGTTTTGGCAACGCATTTATTTTGCTTTATTCAGTTTCAGTCAGTTGCTTAGAGCACAGCTAAGCAAAAAAAGTTACTTAGAAGTTAAAACACAAAGAAACTGTGTAGCAACCACAATCAGATGCTGACATCTGAAACTAAGTTGCGAAATACATTGCACTTTAAAACAATTAATGACATTTTTATTGTTCGTACATTACTAACTACTGTTGACAGCAATTGCCATAATTATAAGTCGATGTCCTGCGAAGTATTGATACATCAAAAAAATATTGCCAGAAAAAAAACTTAATGTTGTTTTCTTTATTATGATTATATAAAAAAAACACAAACTTTGTTTGTAGTTAATTTAGCGCGAAATCTAGGGCTTTTTTAAGGCACTGTTTTCATGAAATCTAGCGCTTTTTGTGTTGACCTAGAGCTGAATGAGTTTTTTTTTATCTGGCAGCACTGCCCAAAAACCCTCTATTAAGAAGTAACTTTCCTTTCAGTTTTAAGCGCGTTCAGTTCCCAGTTACAGTGACCGTGTGTTATGCGATGACCGTAAATAAAGCGCAAGGTCAAACTTTACGCGTTGTAGGAGTATACCTCAGTACTGACTGTTTTGCACATGGCCAACTCTATGTTGCTTTTTCCCGCGTTAGTAGCCCCCGTAACCTTTTTGTGTACACCCCGGCTAAGCCTACTTTTAACGTCGTTTACACAGAAGCTTTATCATAAACGACTTAGAACTTTGATGATAATGATTTATTTTGTTACCACTTATTGATACAGTAATGAAATAAATCGTTTAATATTCTCTTACCTAAACGACAAATTCTTTATGTAAAACCTGTATACGCGAGCTACGCCGCGGGCACAGCTAGTTGTTAATATTATGTTAATAATTAGAGAAGTAGGTATATATATATATATATATATATATATATATATATATATATATATATATATATATATATATATAAACATTTGAGTTTTACACAGAGAGTTGCGATTAAACGTTTTAAACACAAATACAAAATAAATATTTTTAAAAGAAACTTGTGATTTTTTCCCCACAACTAGCAACATTTGTATCATGATAGCTTAGGTAAGTATTTTTTTAGTTTTACGTATTTATAATGAATTAAATATATGAATTTAAATGTGAAATGTAA